CTAGAAAATTACCCAACTGGAAAGATCGACACACCTCCCTTATCGGCAAAGTGCTCGCGATCAATAGTGTTGTACTAGCGGCCTTGTGGTATAAATCTGCAATTTGGACACTCAGCAAGGAGGCCGTCTCATCGCTAAAAAGGTAATTAGTGGCCCTACTGTGGAGAGGTAATGGTGAGGTCTCGAACGTTATTAGCAGGGTAGCCTGGTCATCGGTGATCCAACCCAAGGACAAAGGGGGCCTGGGAATCCTGGACCCGAATACCCAGATCACAATATTAACTTGTCCTATGGGTTAGGAGATTGCTTTTTACCGAGCACCTCCCATGGCAAGCCCTGAAGCTGGAACAGATAGCCAGACTTGCCTCACAGGCACCACAAGGAGTTAGCCCATTGACCTGGCTGGAAGACCGCTTTTGGACCGTGCCACGGTGCCCCCGTATAGAGCGAGACTTACCCCGAGACACAGCCCGTTCGGACCTGGTCAGAGACGACTTCTGGATCCGAGTCATCAGGGTCTGGCGCCAACTCCTGCTGCCTGATCAACCTCCACCGACCAGGTGGGAGGAGGTGATGTGGCAGCCTCTTTTTGGGAATAGGAGGATAACAAACTGGTACAGCAGGGTGTATCGCAGCTCGGACACCCCGTGAAACAATTTGGTAAAAAAAGACATAATCCGAATAAAAGACATATGAGACATAGAAGTGGGTGACTGAAAAACGAGGCCACAACTGAGAACCATACTAAGCACTGTCACAAGATTGAGGAGAACGTTGAATTGTTGACCTCTGCCGTCCCCCTTGACTAGGTGCGCATCCTGCGCAGAGGGCCACAACTAATAGAAGGGGACTGGGTAGCTGCCCCGGGGGATCTGGAAAGTGTAGGCAATGTGGTGGAGGTAAGAACAGACGAAACGTTGGTAAACCTCTTCCACTTAGATAAGGAAAATAAACTCACCCGGTACCTCCCAGATGTGATTAGATGGTGGAGAACAACAGACCTGCACAGGATACGTTTGCTGTGAGACAAAGATGTTTGGATCGCATATCAGCCAAATACCCCCGTGATGAAGCTACCCTTTGACCCTGACGAATGGCAGTGGGTCCCCATGCGAAAACCCAAGTCAGGGACGAATCTAAAACTGCACACTCTATCAATGAAGGCCACATATCGTCTGCTTCAACCAAAGGTGAACATAAAAGATATAGTGAAGGCCCGATGGAGGTCACACTTGAATGTGGGGACTGAGACAATCCACCCGGCCACAAGGTCTAGGCCTGCGAAGATGGTCTCTCTTCGATGGCAGATAGAAAACACCGATGTCTGCCCACCAATGAATGACTGGTTGATAGATCGCACATACCTGGAGCAGAAGGAGCGGGCATTACCATGGTGCAAGCCATGCCACACTGTCTTTCCCCCCCACAGAATTCCTGAAACCATAGAGCACATATTCAGGCAGTGCCCAGGGGCAGTTCTTACATGGCGATGGTGGGATAGGATCTGGACCCAGTTGGGCACTGAATCTCACTGGCCATGGGATTGGAGGGCCATATTATGCGAGGCATGGTCCTCCCCCACTCGCAATACCTTTGAAAACAACATGTTCAAGTTAGGAAGGAGAGCGAGGAAACATTGTATACATGCTATGGAGGGGGTCCGCATTACGGGGGAAGAGGCAACAAACATGATAAGGCAATATATTCAACAAGAACTCATGGTTCACTGGCAAAAAATTAAAATCCAACTTGCAAAAAATTAAAATCCAACTCGACTTATATCATTCAGCAAAGGACGTAGCACAAGCAATTCACCAAATTTCTGGAGACTGGTTGGGCAGTGAGAATGGGGGCTGGATCGCATCTGTTAAATGGGAGGGCAAACCCACCCAGGAAGGCAACCAGGAGGAATTCAGGAGAGACTACCGAATCTGTTTCACTGCAACCTGCCACAGAATTTCCCGACCCCTTCCCGCCCCACTAGCTGGCGATGGTGGATATGCAATGGTATGGAGCAGACTGAACGGGCGATACAGGGCAGATAGGGAGAGGACGGGTACGTAGAGGAATGGACGAACAGGAAGTAGCCGCTAAGGAATTACCAGTGATCAGGCGGTCTGGTGCAGAATGATATTGGCAGACTACAAGTGTGCTCCTTTCTGTTGTATTTCAATAGTCAGTCTGTAATTGAAAAAAGGGCAACGATAGTATGATTTCAGTATGGCTCAGGGGGAGGGAGGAACTAGCGTGTAGCTATGTATCTGGCGCCGGATTCAGGGTGAAGAGGTTCCCCCTTCCCTCCAATATCCTGCTCCGTCAATCCCCTGGATCCCCGGGTAATCAATGCTGGCAGGAACATTCCACAATCTTTTCTGATGTATCCCAAATTCAGTCCGTATAAGGGACACTGGACCCACTTTCCAGCAGGTGATGCTCCCCACCAATAGATGAGCCTCTCCCCAGGTGCTAGTGGTGTCTGCTCTTATCAGCACCACTAACACTTGTGGGGGTGTTAAAAAAAAAAAAAACAAGCTGAAGAGGTACTGTCAGCCCCCCCCTCCTGCCTCTTCCCCCCCCCCTTTCCCCCCTGCGGTACGGGGTTAGCATGTTCATTCCTCTCAGTTTGGACAATGTCAATGTGAACTTCGGCTTTCCTGTCTGTCCGTTTTTCTTTGTTGCCAGCAGGTCGCATCACCGCATCTTACAACTTTTGCCTCTGGGTCACATCGAAATTCTTTACGGAATTTACAATAAATATATATATATATATACAGGGTTGCCGGCGTTCGGGACGGGCCGAACACCCGAACCCGAACCCGAACGCCGGAACGTTTGGGACCCCCTCTCGACGCGTTCGGACGTTCGGCCAAATGCGGAACCAAAAAAAAAATATGTCATGCAGAAGAATGAACTAAACAACATTTGCCTCAACAGTACATCCAAATTCCTTACCAAATTTGAAATAAACACCAAATACGAAAAATAAATAATATTAATGAAAATTTTGAAAATAAGAAAAATAAAACGAGAACGAAATTATTGCGTGGGCGAGCAAGTTTTTGACACCGCCATCTTTGGCGATTTTTCATTTTTTTTTGGCTCTGTCAAATGCCATGAAATTTTATACATATGCATCTTACATAATAGAGAACCTACAAATAAAGTATGAAAAAACAATATTTTTTTTCAGGCCCCGAAATAAAGGGAAAACAAAAAGTGAAAAGAGAAAAAAAACAAATTAATAAGTGGGAAAGCAAGTTTTGACACCACCATCTTTGCCGATTTTTCATTATTGTTTGGCTCCACAGAATGACTTCAAAATTGAGAGACAGATACCTTACATAACAGAGAACTCGCAAAAAACAAATCAGAAAAAAAAAAAAAAAATTAGGTACCAAAATATTTTTTTGCGGGGTCCGAACCCCTTCGAGTTCGGGGCCGATACGGGGACCCGAACGCCCGAACGTTCGGGGGTCAGCTTAGGGGCCTCCGTACGTTCTGCCTGGCAACCCTGTATATATATATATTCTTCATTTTTAGTTTATTATTATTATTTTTGGCCCGGCTGGGCAAGTGGTCCCAGGCCACTCTGGTAGCCTAGATATTAAGTATTTACCATACTTGCAAGGGGACGCCGTCCGGGCGGTTCCGCACGTGCGGCAGACCGCCGGACCGGACCCGCGCGGCGCACGAATGTGCGCCGGACGACCAGTTACGCCCCACCCCAAAAAAAAAATAAAAAAATGGCCCTGTCCGGTCCGGTCCGGGTCCGTCTGGTCCGGAGGGAGGGTGCCGCACACGGCAAAGCGGACCGAACGCTCGTCCGGTCCGTCTGCTTGCAAGTATGGTATTTAGTATCTACTATTTATAATTATTTATGCTCTCGAGTCTTGACCAGAAAATGAAAAGCAATGGCATTTAAATTACCCTTGTTCCTGAGCACGAGATAGCATTATTGAGAGAATTTGAGAAACTATATCACAGACTTTTTTTTTTTTTTTCAATCACAGACGTGTTCTTCGTACTCTGGCTGTCAACAATTTTGCAGTTCTGCTTTCTTGGGACGAAGTCGCACTCCTCCACATGGATACGGCTTCCATTTTTTATTTTTTATTTTTTTTCCGCACACGTTACATTCTGTTTTTTAATCCCAAAGTTTTGAGCTCCACAGCTGTTTCTCCAATACAAACCTTTTTTCTTTTTCTTTTTTTTTTTGTTTGTTGAAATCACAACAAATTTATTCCAAAGAATCCGAACAGCCACAGTGCCCAAGGCCCCATACATACCCAAATAGAACACACCCTAGCTCCAAGTCCGGTCGTCAACAGAAACCAACACCAGAAAAAGAAAAAGAAAAAGAAAAAGAAAAACTTCTGAAAAGAAAAAGAAAAAGAAAAACTTCTGAAAAGAAAAAGAAAAAGAAAAAGAAAAAACACAGCCGAAATTGTTCAAGCGCAGAAATCACTTGCCGGCAAGTCATTGCACAACGCCCGAAAAACAGGAGGGGAAAAGAAAAAAAAAAAAAAAAAAAAAGCAAACAATGACGGCTTCTGATAGAAAGAATGCACAAGAGGGGGGGAAAAAGGGGAAAAAAAAAAAGAACGCGCAGGAGAATGTGGAACAAGGGGGGAAAAACAAAACAGGGTGGGTTTGAGAGGAGGAGGAGGAGGGGGGGGGGGGGGGGGGGGGGGGGGGAGGGAGCGGAGGGAAAAAGGGGGAGGAAAAAAAAAGGGGGGGGGGGGGGGGGGGGGGGGGGGGGGGGGGGGGGGGAGGGAGGGAGAGAGGAATAGGGAGAAGGGGGGAAAAGGGTGGAGGGAGAGGAAACCTCAAACCCAGGGACATGAGAGCTGATGCATGTAGCAAGTTATTATTATTATTTTTTTTAAATTCATGCAGCAAGGTTAATTCCACCAGGTTGGCAAACCAAGGTTAACGGCCTCGCTCCACTACTCACCACATGCACAAAAGACAAATAAATATGACATGACGTATCTTTCCATATTCTAGCAGAAGATTCATTCTCATTTTGCACATTCTGTGCGTAGCGAAGCCGGGCACTTAGGTTGACTGACTGATGAGTTGAAGCAACTTAGAAATTACCGCGGTGAGTCAGATTCACACCCAACACACCGAGTAAAGACGAGTGTTCGCGGTACAAGAAAAAGTACAAGAAGTAAAACTCATAAAAGATTACAAACAAATTTGAAAAAGAAAAATGAAATTTGAAAGTGAAATCTAAATGATACAAATTGTACATCCAAATAGAGCACCAGCTATCGATCAATGGGGTAGAAGAAGTAAAAAGATTAAGAGGAAAAGTTCAAAAAACTTCAAAAAACTTCAAAAAAGAAAATAAATCTTTAGGGCTAATAGGGCATCAAATCCGAACAAAAAGAGGGGAACCGAAAAAAAAAAAAGAAAAAAAAAGGAGAAAACAAAGGACGAAGAAGGTAGGGGACAATTGCGTCGATGTATCTGTTTTCTGGGGGCATTCATGAAAAATGCCCTCTCCTAAAAAAAAAAAAAAAAAAGAGAAGTGGCTGGCGGAACGCCGCAAGAAAAAACCTCCATCAGTTGTCGTCGCCGAGCTGTTGAATTAGACTTTGAGGGAGGAGGGACCCTTCCCAACCGCCCGCAAGGCTGTCGGCGGCGAGACGAACATCGGCCGATCGCACTCCGTCGGGCGCCATCCATTGCGCCACTTGCGGCAAGGTCGTCGTCGCCGCCGCCCTCGGGACCGTGGTGGCAGATGGGAGGGAAAGTTCGTCCAGGACAGACGCTAACACTATCAGAAATTTACTCAATTTATGGACAGCGCGAATCTCGGCCGGCCAGCCGATAACCGTAGCCGCGCTTGAAAGGATGGCACCGAGAGTCGGCTCCTGCCTTGACAACTCCACCAACGTCACCTGCAAAGACGGACACACCAGGAACAAAAGGGCATTGTTAAAAAAAAAAAAAGAAAAAAAAAGGGCATCGTTCGGACGGAAACAGAAAACACAAACGGAGGATCGTCAGGTGATCTTGCCTTGGGGACTGGGCCCCGATCAATAAAAAACAAGGGCATTGTTAAAACAAACAAACAAACAAACAAACAAACAAAAAAACAAAAAAACAAAGTCTAACAAACAGAGTTTCGCATCGATGCAGAGCAGTCAAGCTACCACAATGGTGTGGGACCACTTGCCCGGTGTGACCCTGAAGCAAAAGTTTTGTTCAGTTTTTTTTTCAGTTTTTTTTTCGGGATTTTATTGATTATTTACTTTTTGCAGAGGCCTTTCTGGCCTTTGCCTGGCCGGGCATTCTGGGCAGCCGAGGTAACCCGGGCGGCCCGGTTGGTAGCCCGCATTCGAATTCAAATAATCAAGTAAATGAAGTTAATAAACTAATTGATTGAAAATCTTTCTGCTGAATTGCTTTGTAATATTAGAAATAAAAAAGTGGTCCAACTGCCCAACAGGTTGCCGATAGACAGTAGCTATACTCCTTGGAAAGTGAAACCAAAATTTGTCGGGATCGAGAGAGAGACGCACACACACACACAGAGAAGGAGAGAGAGAGAGAGAGAGAGAGAGAGAGAGAGAGAGAGAGAGAGAGAGAGAGAGAGAGAGAGAGAGAGAGAGAGAGAGAGAGAGAGA